ACAGGAATGTGTTTTTTTTCAGCCTAGAACCGTGCACAGGGAGACCAACTCTGAAAAGCCACAGGTCAAAATTAGGTTTGCGTTCCACTTCGTCGAACGTAATTATCCACCCAACAGAGGAGGATGGCCGCCTGGGTAATTATTGCATCATCCAGTACTCTTTCACTGATGGGGAACATCCAATGAGTCTGAAGCCTCACAAGAATGCAAAGACAAAACAAAAAGGGTACGTAAGAACCTGTGAGAGTACAATAGAAAAGCTGAAGTCTTTGGGTGGTCAACAAGGACCCAGTGCTGCATTTCAAATAAATAAAAATAAAAGACTTAATTTAATCTGAAAGGCCAATCAGTGATCACTGGATCACTGGTATTAACTGGCGATCAGCGTTTACATATAAAATACAGCTATTCATAAAATTGTACTTTAAAAAACAACAACAACAACAACAAGATATATATACTAAACATTTACATTAAAAATACAACCATTCTGGAGATTATGTAAAAACAAGCATTTAAAAAGAAGAGCAACAACAACAAACAAACAAGCAAAAAATTGAACCTAATTTACGGTACATACATGATTGATACGATCTTGATCCATAAAATGCTTAAAAATATGTGTTTTAAACTTAGAAAGAGTGTTTAATTCTCTGATCTCTCTTGGTAATCCGTTCATTCTCGTGCAGCGTCACACTTGAAAGTAGACTGACCCATTTTCGTTTTAGTTGGTGTGACGGAAGGAAAAGGGAATTTGGCAGAAGTGAGAGGTCTCGGTGAACTTCCCAAAAGTACAAAACAGGTTTCTTACCTCGCAAGACGCCCTTCGTCTGAACAACAGCAAGGAAGTTCGTCCCATAGGAAAGATGCCTGGTATGATTTGCTCGTGGAATGCAAAACACAAAGCCGTTTCCAGGATACCGCGTTTCTTAGAGAAGTGAAATGCGCACCAGGGCCTGCGTGTTTCCTAAGAAACAACCGTCAAATTAATGACATTGCTCGTTTTCGTACAGATCCAACGGAGTTCCAACCACTCTACGTGGACGCAACCTTCAACTTAGGACAATTTAATGTTACCATTATTTCCTACAAGCATCTCCTGTTGGAGAATCGCCGAGATGGCAAACACCCTACCCTCGTTGGTCCGGTGCTTGTACATCATAGAAAAACTAGTCAGTCATACAAGTACCTTTGCACTAACTTGGCATCCTTGAATCCTGCCACAAAAAATCTTTTGGCGTACGGTAACGATGATGAGATAGCGTTAATCGAGGCGTTTGAGGAAACTTCGACTGTGCTATTCATTTATTGTGCGAGAGGCACATGCGAAACACCCTCAATGCGAAGTTTGAGGCCCTCTCAGTTCCTTCGGCCTACCAAGCACAGTTTCTCCAGGATACCTTTGGTGGAGCACGTGACGGGGAGTATATGCCTGGACTGGTTGACTGTAGAGAGGTAGAGGAATTTCAATGCCGTCTGGAAGCCCTGGAGGAGAAATGGAGTCAAGCTGGAGAGCCGGGTAAAGAGGCCTATTGCTGGTTTGTGAAAAACAAAGCGCAGAAAGTTTTTTGTCCTCTTGGTGCTGGTGTAAGAGAGCAAGCCGGCTTAGGACGACCACCTGCACGATTTACAACCAACCCATCTGAGGGCAATAATAAAGTTGTTCAAGATTTTATTCATAAAGACACAAAGAAGACACGCGTTAGTGAATTCGAGTTCGTCCAATCACTACAGAAGCTGATACAACGTCAAGAAAACGGCCTTGAGATAGCAGTTATCGACCAAGGGCCCTACCGGGTTCGAAACGCCTTCAATCACATCATCACTTCCCCCGATGACTGGCTGAAAATGACGCCAAATCAGCGGAAGAGAGCTTTGCAGAAGGTACATGGGACGAAGATCTCAGAAGCAAGCAATGGTAATCTGACTTAGAGGCCGCAGCCTGCAGAGGGCGCAAAAAAAAAAAAACAATTCTTGATCGTCTACTTCAAGAGGAAATCGACTGGATTCCCCTCTCCACCTTAACCGGAATGACAGAGAAAGCCGAGAAAATCCTCCAGGTTCCAGAACAGGTTATTCCAATTCCAAACTTAGAAGGATCACTTCTCATTCCAAGCAAGACTAACGCTCGGAACCCACACGTCGTAAGCGCGTACAGTACAAGCCGAATTGTTTGTAATTGCGTAAACAACAAAAGTCTGTCTATTTGCTCACACTCCATCGTCTATGCAGAGCACCAGAAAGTACAGCCTAAGTTCTACAATTGGTTTAAAAGGCTCAAGCGCAGTCAAGGTAGCAATGCTATCAATTTTTCAAACCTCGTATCAGCGGATATGCCTCGTGGAAGGGGTCGAAAGGGCGAGAGGCCTCCCCGAACGGTCAAGGCAACAGTTACTCACACCAACACTGGAATGAATTTCTCGGCCTCCACTTCACGGCAGCAGGAGCAGACCCAAGCAAGGCAGTAACCGTACGAAATTTGGTCAAAGCAGCGGACACAAGTGATAGCTTCACAGCATCATGTTGCAGGTCAACACCAGCACGCAGTAGCTTCACAGCATCATGTAACAGGTCAACACCAGCACGCAGTAGCTTCACAGCATCATGTGCAGGTCAACACCAGCACGCAGTAGCTTCACAGCATCATGTTGCAGGTCAACACCAGCATGCAGTAGCTTCACAGCATCATGTTGCAGGTCAACACCAGCATGCAGTAGCTTCACAGCCTCAGGTAGCAGGTCAACACCAACAGCCAGTCTCTCCACAGCATCAGGTAGCAGTTCTACACCTACAAGCAGGAGGACCACACCAGCGGGCAGCTTTACCACAGCCATACCATAACATAAATCCATTTCTGCTAGAGTTCCGACATGGAAATATTCGTAAATGTACAGGATGTGGAGGGGAAATTTCGAAGCAGGCCGCAGCTCCTGATAATGTGATTTTAAAACACATGGAACGCTATCAGCACCCCACCGGCAGTCCTTTACAGCCCTTCATGTATACTATCAGCAAAGAGAAGGCACACTATTATCACGCCCGTACTGCGTGCGTCATCGGTTGACTTCCTTATTTTACGTCAAATCTTGTGGATTTGTCTAAAGTCGCGAGCGAGCTCAGTGAGGGGCACAAGCTGCGTCTTGTTATGGATCTTGACATTTTTCTACCGTAATGGGACTGGTGATTACCTGTCGTGACACTTTTGGGTTATATCGCGTCCTGGCTTTAGGTCGCTAGGTTTTAAGGTTTCTATGGGTAAGGACCGTTTAACCTGCAGAACGAGCGGAAACTGTGCAACCTGGAAAAGACTGTCAAATGAGTGTTTTCATTTTACTTTCACTAAGATAGATAAGATGGTTAGAAACAATTACGTTTAACAGTGGTAATCCGCCTAATTTGCTGTTTCCAGCTGATTAAGTTTCTGGTAATTTATTTATTACTGGTATCTGAGCCACGTTTTCCTATTTGCCGCCAAAAGATCGACTCTCAACAGTTTAAACACTAGGTAAATGTAACAATGTTGTCGGTGAGTTACATCGCTTGATTTTAGAGGCAGAATCAAGCTAACCTTTCTTGTTAAAAATGGCTGCTTTTGTTAGTGGACCGTATTGAGTTGTAAGCAATTGCAAACATGCTTACGGGATGGCTGGCCTATTGATTAATAGTCGAGTATGGCTTACAAGAAAGAACATTTACTCAGTTTGGCACCATAAGGAAAGCATGGGTTGTCGTCTGATCACCGAAGTTAGTCATAAGGGATTAGGACTTGGATGAGGTTACCCCTCGTTTAACTCTTTTTCTTTACGTTCTTTGTCTTTACTTTCCTTTTTCATTTGTAATCGGTTTGCAGAAATTTGGCGGTTCAAGTAGTAGTTTCGCAGGTTTCGCGCGTCAGCAGTTCCTCAGATTAGACTTACCCGGTTTCTATAACGTTCAAATTTCATGTAAAAGTTTTCATTTTCTTAAAAGAATATGGACATGGTTTTTAAATAATTCAAAGCTGGATCGAAGTTATTAGACTTGTACGTTCAGTAGTTTAGTAGAATTTGTGCATTGGAGAAATTAGATATGCTCTTCATAGTATGGTTCAGTCCAAAAGGGGATGTTTTAACAAGTAAGAGTCGGTCTCGTGTACAATTGCGTTTTTTTTTTTGGAGACATTGAGATCTATTATTGTTGGAAACTTAAACTAAGTTGAGTTGAATTACGTTAAGTTAGGAATTGTTTTCCATGGAGGATGTATGGGAGCAAATTAATACAGTGAAAACGTTTCTGATCGTTCTAGATGTAAACAGTGGAGCAGAGACAGTACGCATCAATACAATCTATAATACGTTTCTTTTGAAAATACTTTCTTTCCAGTGACTAGCACAGCAATCTTGACGTTACCGTTACCACTTATTACCACCTTTCAATGAATATATTAAATACGTTTATTCCGTCACGTGCGTTTCCATGCCAATTGTTTAAATGCTTGGTCTAGAGGAGGCAAATTATTCCTAGCCTCTTCCAGCCGTTCAGTTAGTTGGGGCACAGCGCGAAAAACGGCTAGCGAAAAAATAGGGGACAAGCGCTTTCTCTCGCCGTTTTTTGCAGCGCGCCCCACTGGAGTTAACTAAACGCCTACAAGAGGCTAGCTTATTCCTCGTTCCCCATGTTTCAATTATTTTCAGACCCAAATCATTTTCAGGGCGTGAATAGCATCTTTTAGGATAATTTTTTCTTTCTTTTGCGTTAAAAGCCTTCAAGTACTGTGTACCAACCTTACTTTATTTGCAAACTGAAATCAATAATTTTCTACCGGAGAAGATATTAAATTCCAACAGAAAAAAAAAAATACATGGCCGCAGTTGCACGTGGAATTTGCGAGACAAGCAGCGCTGTGCTGAAAGTTAAATGGCTTTTTCGGGAAAATATTTTATTTTTATAATTTTAGTTTTCTCAAAGTGCAACTTTACCTGTGTATGTATTTGTTTCTTTATTTGCTAATCTACATTTTCTTTTTATCTTACTATTTTTCAGCGCTGAAAATTTTTAAAGGTTTTAGTTTGAACTTCATCAATAAAATTGCGAGAACTTTAGGACGCGCAGTTGACAAGTTGTTGAATGGTTCAAGGGTTCATTCACACGGGCAGTTTATTTTTTGGAAAGCGAAGATTGAGTTTGTTTCGAGGCAACACGGCTTTCCAAGAAAACCGAAGGTGTAATTTCTCACATTTTCTACACATGGTCAAAACTGGACTGCTCCTTACTTTTTTTTCGTAAAAGTGAACTGCTAACTATGAAAATCGTGAGTTGAATATACCATTTGGACTGAATGAAATGTACACTTCAGGAGGTGTGAATTTTTCAATAACTATTTTTATTTCTTAAATTTCTATTTCTAGTTTATTTATGCATTTAATTATTCTTTTAATTCACTTTTAATTTTCTTTTTTTAATTTCTATTTTTTTAAATATTTTAATTTTTTTTTCTACACTCCGCACTCCGCACTCCGCACTCCTCGTTTTCGGAACAGCCGGCGGAGGACAGGAAATTAAACAAAGTTAACCCGCAATGTTTCGAAAACGTCTTAAAAAAAAAAATTATATAGTGGAGATTATGTTTCTACTGATAGCAGTGAATTGAGGGGATTTTAATAAATGATAGCCCTTTATTTTCGCCATTGAAATTGATTTGTCTCTTGTTCGTGTATAATTGTTGTGTTATCTGCGCCCAACACATTGACATAGATTTTCGTTTTTTTCAAAGAGAAATACTGCGAGTTCGAACATGAAATTTGGCATGGTATATGTTTAATAGTGATATTTTAAGGCTCTAAAGTAAAATAATCGAAAAGTGAGGTACCAGATGCATTTTTATGCTGTTAAACATGACCTATATTTTGCCGTTATTTTTAACACGCTTCATAGGTGTGTCTAAACCCAGAAAGTAGTACATAGGGGATTAACCAAACACCGTTTCGCAGAGGGAGGAGTATTTCCCCGTTTTGAAACCCCCAGCTTTAATCCCGAAGCTCGCAAGCTCGCTTCGGTTAAACCAGGGGGTTTCAAAACGGGGAAATGCTGAGTCCCTCTTTAAAACAGTATTTGGTTAATCCCCTATATACTACTTACAACTACTTACAACAACGGGGAAGGGAAGGGACATATATTAGAAACAAACGAGCCCGCCATTATACCGCCAGAACCTTTGCGATGCGCCGAGCAACAAACAACTGCGCGTGGCTGATGCGGGGACGGAAAGAAAGCTGTGGAAAGCGGTGTGTAGGGACCTTTTGCAAGCAGCACAACTACCAGTTAA